CATAATCTGCAGACCTTCCAGGGAGCTGGAAAACAACCAAAATTATCTCCATTTTCAAATCTCACTGCAGATCTTCCTTCTAAAAGGATGTCTTTCCTTAATAATTACACCATGTTAAGTAAGTATTTAATTTATGAAACTGTAAGGGTAGCTTTGTTAGAGAATATCTGACCTTGTTTTAGAAAATAAAACTCCAAATAATTTGAAACCACCACTGAAGCAGGGCAGGAAAAAGGAGAAGATGGTAATATTTTGCTGTTCATGCAGGTTTTCAGTAGAAACTTTGCAATTGAACCCATGGTGAACTTAATTCCTTAAGTTTAAATAGCCGTAAAAATGTCCATCAATGGGGCATAAGATCTGTGGTCATTTTGAAAAAACAAACATGAGGTCTCCATGGTAAAATCAATGTTACTTCAGGCAGTCTCCTATATGTTGTTCAAAAGCATGATTGTGCTTTTACCTTCCCCCTTATTTGTTTAGCTTCATCAACAATCATTTAAGCATAGCAAATGATATCATTCCATTCAGAGAACTCCAGCTCTTTGGAGGGTATACTAGACTAAGTCAGTTCATAGCATTCTGGTCACTGAATCAGAAATGAAACCCAAGTATCCAAGCCTTCGATTGAATTGGGAATCCCCAGAAGGTCAAGAACAAATACAAATGGATAGGATTAAAAGTAGACCCAATGCCATCATTTAAAACAGGTCCTAATGAAGTACATGCAACTTAGAAGACAAAAAGCTACTGCTACCTAAGAAAAGTCAGGGCTCAAGTTGATGTTCTAAGAAAGCCTGAAGAACAGTCCCCATGTCTATTGGATTCATGGCTTGTTATAGGATTTATGTCAAACAGTGCCAAAGCAGAAGGCATAGTTGTTGTTCCCAAGACTAAGTAGGCACTGTATCCCAAAGGTTAACTGATAACTAGTCATCCTGGACCCTCCAAGAAATCCCTAAGGCCACAGACCTCAGGGCAGAAGGAAGCAACTGCTGCCCCTGTTCACTGTCCAGCTATCCCAACTAGAATCCTACTGTCTCCTCTCATTTCCCATTTGACTTGGGGCTTTATCATTCGGTTGGGCTGATGCCAAAAAAAGCCAGCAAACAAAACTACATTCCGTATCATCTGACCAACTTGCACACAGACAAAAAACTACATTTCAAGTCGTGAGATATTGCATCTCCAAAGCTCACTCACTCCAAGGTGTCATTGAAATCATCAAACCTTTATAAAGTCAGTGTCTTCTACAGGACAAAAGGAGGAACTGATCTGTCACACCACAGCTGAATCATTTAATGGTCTCCATAAAGCTCTCATACCCCAGTGTTTCAGAGGCTCCGAAATGAATGGGGAGGAACTACTGACGAACAAAACTAAAATTCATTTCTTTACAATAAAACAGATTTTCAAATTGCAAATCCCAGCCCATGTTGAGAAAGTCCTGATGGATATAATGGGAAAGGATGACCTATTACCTTAATGAGTCTCTTAGGAGAGCAGCAGACTAAAGTGCTTAGGTGTCATAACCATTAGCAACTTAGGTCCAGTACGATGACTATCTCTACAATAATGCATTACACAAAGTTTGTTCCCCCAGAGGCATTAGTATGCTAATAAGATAAGAAAAATTAAACTTTTCTATGTGGTATTTTCAAAACTGAAATTCCCCAATTTTGAGTTCTCTTTATGAATGTTTTAGAAATAATAACATTACCTCCAAAATAGTTTGCCATTGCTATAAGAAGTCAATCACTTACATAAAATCCTATTTCAATTCAGTTCAATAAGCATTTCTTAAACACCTACTGGGTACAAGGCACTAGGGTGCTAGGTGCTAGGGATACAAAGATAAAAAGAGTACCTGCCCATCAAGGACCTACATTCTTCTAGGAGGAATACAACAGACACATAAGTAAATGAATCTCAACTACATACAAAATAATTTCAAGAGGGGGAATGCTGATAACTGGGAGACTCAGGAAAGGATTCATATAGGAGATCACACCTGATTCTGTGCTTTGAAGTTTGGTAAAGGATTCTCTAAGATAGCTTAGAAATGTAAAGTTTGTATGTTTTTCCATGAGCACCTTTGGGGAAAGAATATGTATGTATGTGTTATATACACATATGTGTACAAATGTATGTGCATTTGTATGTGTGATGTATGCCTGTGCGTATTATACATGTACAAATAAACTCACTCCTCATCTCTGGTGCTTGAGATAAAACCATTACAGTGTAGTAATCATGTGCAGATTCCCACTAATGATGGGAATCTTTAGGTGGGGAAATCAAATTATGTTATTCTATCTTATATCAAAGTATAAGATTAACTTTGATCACTTCTAACAATCTGGCTAACATGAAGTTCAATGGTTTGTAGGTTGCTGCTTTGTAAAGCATCTCCTCATGCAACTAAATTGAGATGTAGAAACTATTCTCAACTAAAAAAAAATCAGAATTTCTTCCAAGTGTCTCCCAGCCCCCCTACTCCACCCCACCCCATCCCTATACACACACACACACACACACACACACACACGCACATGCTTAAGGTTAGGTGGAACCAAAACCCAGAGTGCCAGGTAAGGGCTACGTACCCCATACTAAACAGCTACGTGAGCATATGGTGAGATAAACACACCATTCATGAATATAGAGGTGGAGCCGGGCTTGGGTGGGAATGAATCAGGCCATCCCACAGAGTGGGTGTCTCCTTCCTAAGTGGCTCTCTAGGGCACAATTAAAACCCCTATAAAAGGCCCTGCTCTCCTAATGCTCAGTACCCTTGCCAGCCTCGTCAACGAATACTTGACTTCTTCCTCTGGTGAAGTGGGTAAGTCCCATTCTGTGGGATCTTGTTCTTCCAAGTGATGCTTTGCTTTAAGCCAAGGGAGATGTTTGTGGGGACTTATGCATTTGGAAAGGTTTTGTGGGAGTCTGGGGAATTGACCCCCTTTTCAGACGTTCCTAATCTCTGTCTTTGTATCATTTGGAAGTTAAGTTACTCATGATCTAGGTCCTAGAGAGCACTCTCTTTTAGCTGTTTCATCTTCAAAGCTATTACAAACAGTGTCCCAAAAGTCTTGGGGCAGTTTTAACCTTAAAAGCTGCTCTAAGATTTTTAGGACACCCAGTACAACAGTTGCATCTTGTGCTGTCTTTGTCCCCTCTTTTTCCTTGTTTTCTTCAGCTGAAATGTAGTGACTGTCAAGTTATCAGTTTCAGAGGCTGATTATGACAGAGAGAATAGGTAAACCAAGGCAAAATGTATGGCTAATAGAGTTGCCTGATGCATTGTTTTAAGAGAGCTCTGCTTCTGCCTGAACCTTGACAGGTTAATTTGTGAGACAGAGTGATTCTGTTATATTGGTGAGATTTAAGCGATTTATTTATTTTTAAATAAAAAGTTAACCAAAAAGTCTGTTCTGTTCTAAGTATTTGGTCTGTCCTCATTATATTGCCCTCCCAAGGATTGTCTTTCAGATGCTTTTCACAGGTGTTACATGTAGAAGAGCTGAGCGAACTTGTATAACATTCTTTCATTTGAAAATGTGATATCTTGAGCTGAATGTCTACCTGGCAGTTGTAACATTAGGTGCTGACTTCAGCATTTGGAAGGAATAATATTTAGTGGTGGTATAATGGGGAATTGGTAACTTGCAATTTTGACTTCTGGCTTCTCTGTGGATTGGTTATATAAACTGGGGAAAGTCAGTTGCCCATTTCATTGTTCTCATTGTTAATTTGCATATGTATGTACAAGTCATATATACAACAAATATATATATATATATATGTTATGTATGTATGTGTTTTATATGTGTGTATACAGTTGCCTTAAAAGTGTAACTATGTGAAAGTTTCTAACCACTTCACCCATAGCTTTTGCCTTCCTCTTTTGCCCATTTTTACAGATAACTGGTTATGAGCAACAAGAGAGGCTGATTTAACATTCCTCCCACAGAATCACAGATTGGGAGGTGAAAAGAATTTTAAGGGTTATTGAATCCAACCTCCTCATCTTACAGATGAGAAAACTGAGGCCCAAAGAAGCTATGTCTTATTTCTTTGTCTGCTTTTTTAAATGGTACCAATGAAGGCTGTATTATGCAAATTTACCAAAAGTCGGACAACCAAGAGTTGACTACAGATTAACTTGAAGCAGATTCACAGGTTCATAGGATTTAGAGATTGACAATACCTCAGTGATCATGTAGTCCAACCCTCTTATTTGCCAGATAAGGAAAATGAGTCCCAGAGAGATGAAATGATTTGTCCAAGGCCAAATGGAAAGTTAGTGGCAAAGACAGGATTTAACTGCACATCTTGTGACTCAGAATCCAGTGTTCTTCCTACCACCCTGCTCTTTGGCCACTTCTTTGCTATTCCCCAGGATGTATATATAGTGCTTCATAAGTTTTTTAAGTGCTGTATAGGACAGCTAGGTGGCACAGTGGATAGAGCACTGGCCCTGGAGTCAGGAGGATTTGAGTTCAAGTCTGGCCTCAGATACTTGCCACTTAACTACCTATGTGACCCTGGGCAAGTCACTTAAGCCCCTTGCCTAGCCAAAAAACAAAACAAAATACTATATAAATAAAATAGGTAATAGATTTAGAGCTGGAAAGATTGAGGAAACCAAGACACAGCTAGTAAGCATCTGAGGCAGGATTTTCTTCTTGCCTTCAAGTCCACTTTATCCACTATGCCATACTTCCTCTTACAACAATTTTTATTGATATTTCTGCTTTCTTTTCTAAAGACAATATTTACATATGACATGCTTTTGAATACCATAATAGAAAACTAGTTCCTGGTGTATAAATAAATATTCAGAGGGAAATAGTTGCTCCTAGAATAGACACTACCTGCCTAGAACAGTAAAGTTGAAACCTGATTAAGAGTAGAGAAACAGAATTTGACTCAAGCCCAGTGATTCCATGATTGCCCTATTTTATTCTTCCAGGTTTACTTAAATTTGCAGGGAAAAAATGCCTCAGCTACTGAAAAGCATTGTTGATATCATCGAAGTTTACAAGCAATATGCACTAAGTGATTCTGATGGAACAACACTGAGCAAAAAAGCCCTGAAGAATCTTCTTCAGAGAGAATTTGGGGATATCCTCCGGGTAAGAACTGCCAAGGAAAGGGAGAAGGGACTCTTCCTTCATCCTGAAAAATGTGATTTCTTCTGCGATAGCTCAAAGAAATAATTTGGGAATATCGTGTAACTTTGCTATAGCATAGGTCTAGACTAATTCAGGCATTTCTTTCTGGGTTTAACTCTTAAATGTATTCAGCAATGCTGTCAAGATTCCCAAAAGACAGTATTCAAAGATATGAAAACTAACTGATAGGAAAAGAAGTGCACCCGTGATTCCACTGACATTAGAAGTCTCAGATAAGTTAACTCTCTCCGCTAATGCAGATCTCCACTTTCTCTGCAACTACGAATTCCCTAGAATACTGAGAACTGAGTGATTTATCTAGAGCCATATAGCCAATATGTATCAGAGATGGGACTCAAACTTTGATCTTCCTAACTTGAAAGCAGTTTTCATATCCATCACCCTATACTACCTCTCTTGACTATGATGCAAATGTATCTTTTATAAGAAGTTGAGCATATCACTACCAAAGATATCAAAACAATGTTGATTGTGGAAGGAATTTTTAAGTCAACTTCCTAACATTTTAGCTAATTTGTGTTTGTTCTCTAATATAATTCTGCCATAATACATGTACCTGGTCTGTGTAAGACAGATGTGTCTTACCACAACAGGTATATGTGGCACTGGCCAACAATTTCACAAATTATGGTTTTCAGAAGTAGTCCCCAACCTGTCCATGCAGATGAATGTAAATTTATTCTCAGCATCAATGAATAATGGAATTTCTTGGGTCTGAGATCACTCTGAAGTGAATGTGGAAAAATTGGTAAGCAGATAGATATAAGATAGATAGATAGATAGATAGATAGATAGATAGATAGATAGATAGATAGATAGATACATAGATACATAGATACATAGATACATAGATACATAGATACATAGATACATAGATACATAGATGGATGGATGGATGGATGGATGGATGGATGGATGGATGGATGGATACTAGATAGGACAATTGAGGGCAGCTAGTTAGTGGAGTGGATAGAGCACTGGGCTTCGAATTAGGAAGACTCATCTTTCTGAGTTCAAATCCAACCTCAGACGCTTACTAGCTGTGTGACCCTGGGCAAATCACTTAATCCTGTTTGCCTCAGTTTCTTTATCTGTAAAATGAGCTGGAGAAGGAAATGGCAAACCACTTTAGTATCTTTGCCAAGAAAACCCCAAGTGGGGACATGAAGAGTCTGAAAAGACTGAACAACAACAAGAAGACATGACAATTCCCAGTGTCTACGACCTTTAAAATAAAATGCCCACCTTACAGAGGGACAACAAGGCTTGCAATTGAAGCACGGAGAGAGAACTGAAAGGGATCTCAGAGACCATCTGGGTCAAACCTATCATTTTAGAGTGGAGGAAACGTGGGCTCAGAGTTTTAGTGACTTGTCCAAGGTCATACAATTAATAAGCAGCAGAAGTGGGGGTACATAGGATCATAGATCATGAGCTATAAAGGACCCTAAAAACCATCTGGTCTGACTCCCTTATCTTACAGAGGAGACTAAATGACTTGCCCAAGGTCATACAAGTTGTAAGCGTCAGAAGTGGGATTCGGACCGAGGTCTTCTAGGTGATATTCATGTTGCTTGAAAAAGAATCTCTTAGGTGGTAAGACCTCACAAAACATACAGGAGTCATTAAAAGCTCTCATACTTTTCTTGGGATCCAGAAACCTGCATTAGATTGTCAAATTTTTCTTTTTTCTCTATTTTCCTACAGAGACCACATGACCCCCAGACTGTGGAACTGGTCCTGCAACTTCTAGATCGAGATTGTAACGGGCACGTTGATTTCAAAGAGTTTCTCTTGCTAGTGTTCAAAATAGCTCAATCATGCTATTACGCCCTTAGCCAGGCCACGGGGAACGAAGAGAAGAGACGAGTTAAGCTAGAGGAAAAGAGGGAAAGGTTACAAGAGGAAAACCAGAGGAGGCGCGGCGCCCGGGAGAGGCAGCTCCAAGAGGAAGAAGAGCTGCAGCGAGTGCAACAGGAACGCGAGCGGCAGCGTAGTGAAGGACTCCAGGAGCTGGAGAGGCCAAGGGCCTCTAAGGAAGAGCAGCTGCAGCGACAAGAGCAAGAAAGACAGCTCCAGGAGCGCGAGAGGCAGCGCCTGGAGGAAGAGCAGCTGCAAAGACCCGGGAGCGAAAGACGGAGAGAGAGGCAGGTCTGGGAAGAAGAGCAGAAACAGAGGCAAGAGCTAGAACGAGAGCGTCGCCGCAGCCAACAGAGACAGGAGCGCGCAGAAGAAGGCTACGGAAAACAGGAGCAGGAGGAGAGGCAGCAAAGCGAGCGGCACAGAGAGAGCCGGGAAGAAAGGCGGCAGGAGCGTGCAGTGCAGAGCTTGGAGGAAGAGCAGCAGCTAAGACGTCAAGAAGAAAGACAGGCCCGCGAGCAGGGTGAGAGCCGCGGCTTCCGACTGCAGTGGCAACTGGAAAGAGAACTTCAAGGTCGGCAGAACAAACTCTACTCTAAGCCCCGCAGGCAGGAGGATGGCCAATTCCTGGAGGAAGAACCGAGACGCCGACAGCAGAGAGAAGAGAGACAGCGGCGTCAGGAGCGAGAGAGGCAGCTGCGCGAGGAAGAGACGTTGCAGCGTCAGGACAGGTTCGGTCAGCTGCGGGATGGGGACATCGACGACCGCTTCCAGGAGGAGCAGGAAAGACAGCGACGTGAAGAGGAACAGGCTCGCCGGCGACAGATACGCGACCGGCAGCTGCAAGAGGAGGAGCGGCGCCGCGACCTCAAAGTCCAGTGGCTGCCAGAAGAAGAAGCCGAGAGACGCCGAAACCGACTCTACTCCAAGCCCTCTGAGCAGGAACGTCGGGCTCAACTGGAGAGGCATCTGAGAGAGGAAGAAGAGCGCGAGCTTCAGCAGCGAGAGAGGAGGCGGCTCCGGGAGCAGAGAGAGCAGCTGTATCGCGAGGAAGAACAGCTCCGGCAGGAGGAAGAGCAGCTCCGACGGCGCCAGGAGAGAGAGAATGAAAGGCGACGTCAGGAGCGAGAGAGGCAGCTGCGCGAGGAAGAGGCGTTGCAGAGTCAGAACAGGTTCGGTCAGCTGCGGGATGGGGACATCGACGACCGCTTCCAGGAGGAGCAGGAAAGACAGCGACGTGAAGAGGAACAGGCTCGCCGGCGACAGATACGCGACCGGCAGCTGCAAGAGGAGGAGCGGCGCCGCGACCTCAAAGTCCAGTGGCTGCCGGAAGAAGAAGCCGAGAGACGCCGAAACCGACTCTACTCCAAGCCCTCTGAGCAGGAACGCGAGCAGGAACGTCGGGAGCAAAGAGAGAGGCAGGTGAAAGCGGAAAAACAGCTCCAGGAGGAGGAAGAGCAGCTCCAGCGCCTGGAACAGGAAGTAGAAAAGAGACGTGAGGCGTTGGAGAAGAGGAAGCGCCAGGAGCAGCAAAATGGACAATACCGGGAGGAAGAACAGCTCCAGGAGGAGGAAGAGCAGCTCCAGCGCCTGGAACGGGAGAAGAGGAGGCGCAGGAGGAGGAAGAGCAGCAGCGCCTGGAACGGGAAGGAGGAGGAGGGAAGAGCAGCTCCAGGAGCGCCTGGAACAGGAAGTAGAAAAGAAACGTGCAGAGTTAGAGAAGAGGAGGCTCCAGGGGGAGCTGGACAGTCAGTACCGGGAAGAAGAACAGCTCCAGGAGGAGGAGGAGCAGCTCCAGCATTTGGAGAGAGAGGTCGAAAAGAGACGTGAGGCGTTGGAGAAGAGGAGGCGCCAGGAGCAGCGGGACAGACAGTTCCGGGAGGAAGAGCAGCTCCAGGAGGAGGAAGAGCAGCTCCAGCGCCTGGAACAGGAGGTAGAAAAGAGACGTGAGGCGTTGGAGAAGAGGAGGCGCCAGGAGCAGCGGGACAGGCAGTTCCGGGAGGAAGAGCAGCTCCAGCGCCTGGAGCGGGAGGAGAAAAGCAGGCGCCAGGAACAGCGAGATGGACAATACCGGGAGGAAGAGCAGCTCCAGGAGGAGGAAGAGCAGATCCAGCGCCTGGAACAGGAGGTAGAAAAGAGACGTGAGGCTCTGGAGAAGAGGAGGCGCCAGGAGCAGCGGGACAGGCAGTTCCGGGAGGAAGAGCAGCTCCAGGAAGAGGAAGAGCAGCTCCAGCGCCTGGAACAGGAGGTAGAAGAGAGACGTGAGGCGTTGGAGAAGAGGAAGCGCCAGGAGCAGCGAGATGGACAATACCGAGAGGAAGAGCAGCTCCAGGAGGAGGAAGAGCAGCTCCAGCGCCTGGAACAGGAAGTAGAAAAGAAACGTGCAGAGTTAGAGAAGAGGAGGCGCCAGGGGGAGCTGGACAGTCAGTACCGGGAAGAAGAACAGCTCCAGGAGGAGGAAAAGCAGCTCCAGCGTCTGGAGAGAGAGGTCGAAAAGAGACGTGAGGTGTTGGAGAAGAGGAGGCGCCAGGAGCAGCGGGACAGGCAGTTCCGGGAGGAAGAGCAGCTCCAGCGCCTGGAGCGGGAGGAGAAAAGCAGGCGCCAGGAACAGCGAGATGGACAATACCGGGAGGAAGAGCAGCTCCAGGAGGAGGAAGAGCAGCTCCAGCGTCTGGAGCGAGAGGTGGAAAAGAGACGTGAGGCTTTGGAGAAGAGGAGGCGCCGGGAGCAACGGGACAGAAAGTACCGAGAAGAGCAGATCCAGCGCCTGGAACGGGAGGAGAAAAGGAGGCGCCAGGAGCAGCGGGACAGACAGTTCCGGGAGGAAGAACAGCTCCGGGAGAAGGAAGAGCAGAGACGTGAAGAGCGAGAGGGGAAAAGGCTTCGCCTGCAGCGGCGAGACCGGCAATACCGGGAGGAGGAGGAGCTAGGCGGACAATATTCTGAGAGAGAGGAGTTCCAAGAACAGGAGAGTGACCTGCCATTCCGTGAGGAAACCCAGAGCCGACGTCTGAAATGGCAGTGGCAACCCCACCGGGAAAATGAAGCACGGAACAGAAGGCTTTACTCCAAACGTAGGGAGGATGCACAGAGAGATTGGGAGCAAGAAGATTCTCAAGTCCGAAACTGGCCCGCGGGAGATAATGACGATGAGTCTGGTCGTGCAGATCTGGACAGACCGTTCAGGTACGAGAAATCCCGTCGGCTGCAGGACAGACAGCTCTATCGGGACGAGCAAGAAGAACGAAGGTACAGGCAGGAACGAGAGGCGGAGAAGGAACGTCTCCAAGAAAGAGGCAGGATCTCCCAGGAAGAAGAACAAGGCCTCCGACAAGAAAGGAGACGCCGCCAAGAGCAAGGCGCGAAATTCTTGGATGAAGAACAGTTGTACCCAGAGGAACGAGAGGAATATGAAGAAACGAAAAGACTGCGTCAGAGCAGAGACAGGAAGTTCCGTGAGGAGCAGGAGTTTCGCAGACAGGACCAAGAGAGAAGGCAAAGAGTCCTCCAGGCTCGAGACAGACAACTCCAGGAAGAGGAATTCTACCCTCAGGAGCGAGACAGACAGTATCGTAAGGAACGGCGCTCCCAGGAGGCCCAGGACAGGCAATTTCCGGAGGAAGAGAGGGTGCTCCCTCAGCAACGAGAGGAACAGAAACGCAGGCAGGAACGAGACAGAAAACTCCAAGAGCAAGAGCAAAGCCTCCAGCAAGCGGTAGAAGAAGAAAGGAGACGCCGTCTAGAACAAGACAGGAAGCTCCTCCAGCAGGAAGAGGAGGAAGAGCAGAGGCGCCGTCAGGAACGCGAGAGGAAATTCCGTGAGGAGGAGCAGCTCCGCAGACAGGAGCTAGAGCAGGAGCCTCAGAGGCGCCAGGAGCGGGAGAGGCAATTCCGGGAGGAGAAGGAGCTCCGCAGACAGGAGCTGGAGCAGGAGCTAGAACAGGAGCAGAGGCGCCGTGAGGAGCGGGAGAGGCAATTCCGTGAGGAGGAGCAGCAGCTCCGCAGACAGGAGCCGGAGCAGGAGCAGAGGCGCCGTCAGGAGCGGGAGAGGCAATTCCGTGAGGAGGAACAGCTCCGCAGACAGGAGCCGGAGCAGGAGCAGAGGCGCCGTCAGGAGCGGGAGAGGCAATTCCGTGAGGAGCAGCAGCTCCGCAGACAGGAGCTGGAGCAGGAGCTAGAACAGGAGCAGAGGCGCCGTGAGGAGCGGGAGAGGCAATTCCGTTGAGGAGGAGCAGCAGCTCCGCAGACAAGGAGCCGGAGCAGGAGAGGCGCCGTGACGAGGAGCGGGAGAGGCAATTCCGTGAGGAGCAGCAGCTCCGCAGACAGGAGCCGGAGCAGGAGCAGAGGCGCCGTGAGGAGCGGGAGAGGCAATTCCGTGAGGAGGAACAGCTCCGCAGACAGGAGCTGGAGCAGGAGCTAGAACAGGAGCAGAGGCGCCGTGAGGAGCAGGAAAGGCAATTCCGTGAGGAGGAGCAGCAGCTCCGCAGACAGGAGCTGGAGCAGGAGCAGAGGCGCCGTCAGGAGCGGGAGAGGCAATTCCGTGAGGAGCAGCAGCTCCGCAGACAGAAGCCGGAGCAGGAGCAGAGGCGCCAGGAGAGGGAGAGGAAATTCCGCGATGAGCAGCTGCGCAGACAAGAGTTAGAAGGGCAGCGGTACCGTCAAGAGTTCGACTCGCAAACGCGCGGCCAGTTCCGAGACAGGCAGTCCAGGGAGGAAGACAAGAGTCGTAGGCAGGCCCAGGAATTTAGCTCACGTCAAATTTCTAAACCAATTGTCCGTTCCAGCCCACTGTATGAATATATTCAAGAGCAAAGATCCCAATATCGTCCATAGGAGAAGCTGTCAAAGTCCTGTCACTTACCAAAGTTTAGACAACAGGAAATGGAAAACACCGCGTACCAAGTGATTGATCAAGCGCAAGTTCTTTTTGGTTATGGGAAAACTCTTTTCTGTCAAAATAATGGGAGGAGGTTTCTCCCCCCAAAAAAGCACCCTTTAAGCTATCTTTATTTCCTTCTTCAGTCCTTCTTGTAGCTCTTTACTACAATTCCGTGAGGAATTCATTGATACAGATGTGGTGCTCATAAAGAAACAATACTTTGGTTTAATGAACGGGGGGGGGGGGGCACTCGCCTGTTCATCGGTTGTCAGAGATAACACAAGAATCAAGATCTGCGGTTCCTCCCTGGATAACGCCATTGGGTTTGAAGAGATGTCAATTTCCAAAGCTAGTGCAAGTGATATTTCTCCGCAACAAATAAAATTCGGCTTTACCTCAACCCAGATTCCATCTTGGGTAACAGTCACGCCCAATGTAGCCCTAAGGCTTCATTGCAATTTTGTAACTATATAGCCTCAAGGAGGCTGTGTTAGACAGTCCACTTGTGAAGGCAGCCCATAATTGGAATAAATGTTTAAAATTTGAGGTTAACCTGAACTCTGGTAATTTAAGAACTGAGAAGACTTGGATTTAGGGCTGTTCCTCTAATAATAAGAATAAGAATAATAGCCAGGAGACTACAAGCAAGCTCATGAAGCAAAATCAAAGTGTTTCTTTAAAAGCTCCACAACTCAAAAAAAAAATTTTTAATTAAAAGTAGATGTCTAGTATAGTCTATAGTACTTGGTTCTTTCCCCTAGTCCTTGATGGGGTTGTAGATCTTTGCACCTCTGTGAATTTCAGCTGGATATGAAACCAACTCAGAGAATTCTGAAGATCTGCCTTAGTGATTGGTACCTGTAATCTGCAAGAGTTATTTAGAGTGAGTGTGTTGGGAAAAGCAAATGTGTAGTGGAAAATGTGTGGATGACTGTGCAGGTACCCTTAGGCCCTAGGACAAGACCCATCAACCCATAACCCTTTGAGGCTAATTGATACTATCTTGGGGACATTCTTGTTGAAATAATTGGACTATGGAAATCAATTAATAAATGGTTGGCAATTATTTACTTTTTTCCTGTTTCATCTCTTCGTCTTCACAGCACAAGGACTGGAAATCAACATAAACATCCCACACACATACATTCCCAAATCACTAAGCTTTTATTATATTTGACAAGATGTTAGGAACCTTTTTTTTTATAAGAAATGCAAAATAAACTACCCAAAGAAGTGTTCTGGTCAGGCCAGACTGTCACAGTCAAAATTAAGTTCACAGCATGAGAAAGCAATCACATCTTTCCCACATGTACAAAAGTGAGCAACAATTAAAAAAAAGCTTCACTTCTTCACATTTACCAAGATTTTTTTTAATGATCAAAAGCAAAAACAATGTAATGTTTTGTTTTGTTCTGTTTTTGTTCTTGTTTTTTGCTTCTGTTCACTGTGAACTAAACTTGATATGGTTTCAGGACTGGTGCCTTCAGCCTCAGCTGGCTGAATGAGTGTCTGTCATATGCAGTCACAGGTGCATATTGATAGAAAACTATATTATGATGTGATCAAAATTGCATTGTAGTTGTGTTCATTTAGAGGGGAATAGAAACTTTACCCGTGACTTCATTGCTACAGGGAACTTTGGGGTCTGGAAACACCCACTACCAATGCAGGTTGGCATCTTTTCTGCAACTTACAGTCTTAGTAACTTGCCCTGGGTCTCATAGCCACCAGTGTCAGAGAAGGGATTTAAACTAAGATCTTTCTGGTTCCTAGGCCAGTTCTCCCTATTCACACTCAGATGCCTCTCTTAAGTATATTATTTAAATGAATACATTAAAAGTTTTCACTGAAGATCACTAAAGGCTGTCTATGTTCCTCACCTCTGGACTAGACACTTCATCTTAGAACATGAAAGTAAAACACACGTCCAAACAGTTTTTTTAACCCTCCATTTTCCTTCCCAACCCATTATCTATGTAAAATTAACCTTTCCTTAGCTTCATAAGCTGGGCTTTCCAATGAACTATTTTCTATGCTTTTTTCAAGCCTCTATATTCTTATTCACTACAGCTGGACTCAGCTTCTCTCTTGTCCTGTATTCCTAATGCCATTGCTATGATGTTTATTGGCACCCGGCTAAAAGTTTAATACTTCTTTTTTTGGTTTTTTTTTAAATTATTTTGAATTATCAACAATCACTTCCTTAAGCTTTTGAGTTTTAAATTTTTCTCTCCCCATCTCCCCCCCCAAAACAACAAGTAATTTGACATAGGCTATACATATACATTCCTATTAAACATATTTTCACATTAGTGATGTTGTAAGTAAGAATTAGAAGCAATAGGAGGAACTACCAGAAAGAGGAAATAAAACACAACAGAAGAAAAAAATAGCAAATAGTATGCTTCAATTTGCATTCAAACTCCATGTATTGCTGAGAAGGGTTGTCTATCAATATTAGTCATCGAATAACATGGCTGTTACTGTGTACAATGTTCTCCTGGTTCTGCTCATTTCACTCAGCATAAAACCACACAAGTCTTTCCAGGTTTTTCTGAAGTCAGCCTGTTCATCATTTCTTATAGCACAATAGTATATCATTACATTCATATACCACAACTTGTTCAGCCATTTCCCAATTGATGGGCATCCTCTCAATTTCCCAGTTCTTTGCCAACACAAAAAGAGCTGCTATGAATGTTTTTGTACATGTGGGTCTTTTTCCCATTTGTATGATCTCTTTGGGATATAGCCCTAGAAGTGCTATTGCTGGGTCAAAAGGTATACATAGTTTTGTAGCCCTTTGGGCATAGTTCCAAACTGCTCTCCAAAATGGTTAGATCATTTCACAACTCCACTAACAACACATTAGTGTTCCAATTTTCCCATATCTTCTCCAACATTTATCATTTTTCTGTTTTGCCATGTTGGCCAATCTGATAGGTATGAGGTAGTACCTCAGAGTTGTTTTGATTTGCATTTCTCTAATCAATAGTGATTTAGAGTACTTTTTCATATGACTATAGATGGCTTTAATTTCTTCATCTGACAACTGCCTGTTCATATCCTTTGACCATTTATCAATTGGGGAATGACTTGTATTCTTATAAATCAGACTTCATTCTCTATATATTTTAGAAATGACGCCCTTATCAGAGAGACTGGTTGCAAAAATTCTTTCCCAGTTTTCTACTTTCCTTCTAATCTTGTTTGCATTGGCTTTGTGGAACAAAAATAGTTTAATATACTTTTAAATATCTGGCTCCTCAATCAGTGGCAAGGAAATGGTTAAAAGGCACTTTTCTAGGGTTGTCAGTTTCCCTGTTGATTTAAACAATGATCAGTGGAACGAATGGCATTCTAAGCAAGCATAGTGGTTTTTTAGAGCATTTAATAATGATGAGGATGATAGTAATAGCAGTAATAACAGCATTCATACAGCACTTTAAGATTTACAAAGCACTTTACATGTTATTTCATTTGATCCTTGCAACTTTGAGGTGGGTGTTTTTATTATCCCCATTTTACAGATAAGGAAACTGAGGCTGAGAGAGTGTGACTTGCCCAAGGTCAACAGCTAATAGTCATCTGAGGCAGGATTCAAACACAGACCTTCTTTGACTCCAAGTTCAGCTCTCCATTGAGCCACCTGTTAGTAAACGTATTTGATATTAGTGCATCAGGTGCTTGGTATACTGGGAGAGCCAAGATGATGATATCATAATGGTGTCAAATAGTTTGGGTTGAGAAAGGCAGAATACTCCGAAGCTACAGACATTAAGCATTTTAATACCAATGCAAACAAGGAAACTAGGCATAGCTCACATATCCACCAAGAACATTAGTCTTTGAGCATTACCTTTTTTAAAGTGAGGAGACAATGTAGAATCGATGCAGAAAAGTCAAAAGATCTAGTTTCAGATTCTGCCTAAACTACTTACTTACATGTATGTCCTTAGGCAAGTTACTTTTGCCACTCTGGGCCGTATTTTACTAATCAATAAAACAAAAAGGGTGGACCAGGTGGTCTCTGAGAGCCCTGATAACTCTAAATTCTACGACCTTTTCCTCCAGAGGACACATGGACTTGCTTAGTTTCTTACTGCTCCAGGTTAATGTAATTGATTGGCAGGATCTGAGAACTCCCATAGAACTGACCTTTCTTCTGTCTCTAGGTAATATTTGACCTTGGACAAGTTATTTCACCTCTCTGGGCCTCAGTTTCCTCATCTATAAAATGAAGTGGTTGGAAGAGGTCCTTTCCAGTTCTTAATCTATGAACCTATTACCCGGAAATTATGCCTTTTTCTTAAGCTTTCTAACTGAGAAATCGATTCCCTTTCAGTATATTGCCCGTCTCCTCAGGTATTGTTGTTGTCCAGTTGTGTTCGACTCTTTGTGACCCCATTTGGGGTTTTCTTGGCAAACATACTAGAATGGTTTGCCATTTCCTTCTCCAGCTCATTTTATAGATGGGGAGGCAAAAAGAGTTAAGTGATTTGCCCAGGGTTACATGGCTAGTAAGTGTCTGGGGCCAAATTTGAATTCAGGTCTTCCTGACTCCAAACTTGGTGCTCTATCCATTGCACCACATGTACTCATGTCCTTAAGTAGTATGGAGCTGAAAAATTCCTCTATATCTAGGACTCCCCCTGGTCCCTTCAAATGGGCATTTTTTGGAGCAGCTGGGTAGTGCAGAGGATAGAGCACCAGCCCTGGAATCAGGAGGTCCTGAGTTCAAATCTGGCCATAGACACATAACACTCACTAGCTGTGTGACTCTGGACAAGTTACTTAACCCCAATTGCCTCATCAAAAAAGAAAGGAAAAAAGTGAGCATTTTTCTGAGAATGGTCTTATAGTACCCTGGCATGCTTCTTAGCTATATGCTTGCCAGCTTGTTCCCAACCTGGCACAGCTAAAAAAAAAAAACAATCAAAGCATTTATTTTAGTCTTCTTGTAACACTTTATTAGCGGAGGAGTCAACTTCTAAAGAGTAATTCATCACAATTAAAACCACATAGTAAAAAACATGTGTCATCAAGTTCATGCCCTCTGGATTGTCCTTTGAGGGTGCTGGCATGAGAATCAAAGACCAGCCCTACTGATTCTTCTTGTGAACAATGTGAGCGTGAGCCAGGAATGATTTGGTAACTAGCAGCTTAACTGTAAATTAGGAGTTCTGTAAACTCCATTTTCCCTGGCTATGGTTGGAATGTAGGTTATGTAATATCAATGGAAAGATTGATCTGGGCACAATATGAATTCATTTGCTCACAGGTCTGTGTAGTTGATTGTAATAATGCCACATATTATTCTGCACAAGAATAAAAGCAATTTGCTACAGGTGGAATCCCTAATTTGGATCCAATGATCTCCTTTACCCATTTACTTAAAGTCTCTGCTCAAAGACAGTTATCTTTCAGACATCTGCCTCAAGTTTCTAATTCAGAAAAAGACCTGCCTTCATACAGTCATAACTTCCAAAGCTGTTCATTAACCATTTAGGCAACTGAGACAAATGAGAAGCCTGAGAGACAGAGTTTCTGGGTAATTCATAATTAATTTATTAACTTGGTTAGCTGATAATCAATAAATTGATGGTCAGTGATTTCTCTCAGTAACCAAAGACAAAACCATAAGCATTCAGCTTAAACACGTTTGGAAAAAGAGGTACCTCCTGACTGGTGAAAATCAACCCTGATTGGTGAACAATTAATGAGGGAGTAGAAAAATTAAAGAGGAAGAGGGCTAAAAGCCTTCAGCTCCTCCTGCTGAGAACAGACTCAGGCACTGGACATAGGAATTCATCTCTACCCAGATCACTCTGGTTGATTTTCTCTTTCATGAGCTGAGTTCCCCTAGACTGCAAAGGAGGGGTGCAAGGACATGGGCTCGATGCTTTAGGGCTGGAATCCTCCTAGATTAAATTCTGTAGATCACTTTAAACAGAAGTAAGGTCCTCTAATTGGGTAGGGTCTGCCCAGGATCACACAGCATGTACCCAGAAGATTTGGCCAATCTCATCTATCAGCCTTGTCCTT